AGTCGCGATGTGTATTTCGTTGAAAATTTATACGATAATAGCAATATTGATCTCCTACCTTTATTAAGTGCAAGTAATCTTGACCGCTATATTCCAGATAGTTAATTTGAAATTTCAACTGAAAATGTCAAAAACAGTGAGGAGAACGGTACTGCCAACAAAGAAACTAGTCAAATGAATACACCACAGGAAGATGATATACCTGATGTTCCAGAATCTGAAGACTATACTGGTACAAGAGCTGGTTATGATTTAAGACCAAGGCCACAATGTGATATTGTAAACTTAGTAGCTCCAGTCAAGACGCCAACCGATATAGTAGTCCCAGAAATAGTCTTCGAAGCTCTACAGAGTGAACAGTCCGCTTACTGGAGACGCGCTATGCAGGAGGAGTATGATATATTCGTAAAAAATCATACATGGGTCGCGGTGAAGCTACCAACAGGGCAAAAAGCTTTCGGCTGTAAATGGGTTTTTGCAGTGAAATTCGATGCAACTGGAAACATCGAGAGGTACAAAGCACTGGTCGCTAAGGGCTGTAGTCAAAATACGGTGTTAATTATACTGAAATATTTTCACCGATAGTGAGATACGAAACAATAATGATTTTAGCTATAGCAGTAAAATATGAACTTCATGTCCATCACCTTGACGTTTCATCAGCATATTTGAATGGTAATCTTGAAGAAACAATTTTTATGGAGCAACCGAAATTTTTCGAGAAAGACGATAATAAAGTGATTCAGCTCAAAAAATCTTTATATGGACTTAAACAGTCACGCCGATTGTGGCATTCCAAATTGAATGAGGAATTGGAGAAAACAGGATTTGTTTCATGCCGAAGCGAACCATGTGTATACACAAAAAATAACAATAAATGTTTGAATATCATCGCAGTGTATGTGGATGATTTGTTACTTGTGTGTACAGACCTAGGTGAGTTGGGCGCAATAATAAAGAAAATCTCTAATGTTTTGCAGATAGTAAATAAGGGTCCTATAAATCATTTTCTGGGTATGGAAGTGGAGCGTGAAAACTCAACTGGTGCTTTGACTATTAGTCAAAAACAATTTGTATTGCAGCTCTTAAAGAACAATCGTATGAGTGTGTGTCGCCCAGTTTCTACCCCTCTTGAGACAAACTTTCAGGTATATTGCATGATTGAAAGTTGTAATAAAGTTGATATAACGGAATACCAGTCATTGATTGGCTCACTAATGTATATTGCTATTAATACAAGACCTGATGTATTGCACTCAGTATGCAAGCTAGCCCAGAGAAATTGTAATCCCCACTCTGAGCATTTAACGGCAGCAAAACATATTCTATGATATCTTAGCAAAACCATCGACATAAAATTGCATCACAATAGGAGTTGTGCAGCAAATAAAGCGTATGTAGATGCAGATTGGGGAGGCGATGCAACTGATCAAAAATCGTATACAGGCTATGCGTTTATCTTGGCAGGAAGTGTATTCAGTTGGGATAGTAACTGTAGTCTGCAGTGGCTCTGAGCAGCACAGAAGCCGAATATATGGCGATTACTGCTGCAGCCAAAGAAGCTATATATTTAAGAAAACTTTGCTCAGAACTAATAGGACTTAGTGATATTGGAACAATTATGATAAATAGTAACAGTATAAGTGTTATGAATTCAATCAAAAATCCTGTATATCATGCTCGCAGTAAGCACATACAAATAAAATATCACTTTGTTCGTGAGGCGTATAGTAATAAAGAGATTGATTAACAATACTGTCCAACTGATATAATGTTAGCAGATATCTTTACCAAGAACTTACAAAAAACTAATCACTGTATATTGGATTAAAATAATGAATGATGAATGATATTAATAAAAATTATTGAATTGATGAAATTGTATACATATTATAAGTTAGTATTTTATATTGTAGTAAAATGAAGAATATTATTTTATGTTATAAACATTGAGGAGGAGTGTTGAAGTTAAATCCTACCACAATGTTAATAACATTACACATATATAGATATTTTTGTCAAGTTTTAATAAGCTTTTATTTAGCCTTATATAATTTACTTTAATAAATAACGACAGTTGTGATTATACATTCTAAAAGAAAACAACGCGTTTTATTGAAAAGGTGTGTTCTACATTTGATAAATACCAACAGTATTGAAGGCTATAAATTTTGTGCTTGACTCTTCAAATAGTACGTGAAAAAATCCGTTTTCCAAATCCATTGTCGTAAAGTTCTTTGCGGCTTGCAACTTCAACATAACATCTTCGACAATATGCAGAAGAAGTCCAGTATTTTTTTTACGTGATTACCTGCCGTGATGGCTCAACACCACGGTGCTCTGAACACACGTATTAATTTAAGTGTCAATCAACGCCCCACTGGAATGGCTTGCTCTATTCCGCCGGTACCAATGAAGAAATTCATGCAAGTCATAACTTCCACCTTGGTAAGATGCGAGGCTTACCAACTACCTCTGCTACAATTTGGGCTGCAGCACGGTTTGAAACGCACTCCACGGCGAATGAATGGCAAGCAAAACATTCTTCCCGCGTAAGTTTGGGTATCAACCAAACACCACTCCGGAGCATCGGAGCCAGTGTCGATTAAACAATTAATTTCTAGTTCGTTTATATGAACGCGTTTAACACGGTCTTCTTGAAAAGTCACATTGACACTCTTATTTACAAGTGTGCAATTTTTTGAGATATGACCAGTATTGTTACATCTAAAAGACTTCGTTTCGGCACGGCACGGCAAACCACAGTTAAAACAATGTTCTTTTTTATAATTATTTTGATGTCCGTTTATTTGCATTCTTATATTGATTATGTTTATGTTTGCATTTAATTAATAATATTTTATATTATTGTTTTTTTTTGTTATTTGTTTACATGTGTTTACATATTATTTGGGCCAACACTGTGACCAGTCATTGACCAACGAAAAGTGCAATTCTGCATTATCAGTTTTTCTTGTTGGTCAATGCACTGAAGAAAGTGTGTAATATGTTGGCCTATAATTATGTCAGCACAGCGTAGGCAAATTTATTTATTTGTGGATTATGCATTAATATTTATTGTTAATTAATGCATAATTTAATAGCTTTTTTATAAAATAAGTTTTGTATAAATATAAGAAATAATTTTAATAAAGTTCAGAAGGAAAAGAAAAAGAAACGAAATCAATTATAACTTTCTTACTTTCTCGCATCGATTAGTTTGGGTTTCAAGTGCTCAAACTAATCAACATAGAAAATACAAGTAGTTTGGGTTACAAGTGCTCAAACTACTTTACACATAAAAATTGGCTACCAAGCTAACACAGATTAAGGATCTGGGTTAGCACCAAGTAGCGTACATTTTTTGGTGACCCCGACGTGATTATTTATATAATATCAATTTTCATTTCATTATCCTGACGAAATACATATCGAAGGAGTCAATTACTTACAAAAGGACACACCAAAAGGTCTACTCATTAACCAGCTGAAGTATTTATTCATCGGAATTTTCGGACTGAAAATTCAAACATCGCCATGGGTGTGTTATTAAAGAAGCAGTCAGAGCTCGGTACAGAGATTGAGCGACTGATAACCAATTTCAAAAAGGATTCTAGTACCCGCAAGCAGGATTCCATTTACTATGAAGAACGGCTAAAGAAGCTACATTCCCTATGGAATGATTTTGAAATAAATGATGCTGAACTCAAAGCATTGCCACAACCTGAACTCGAACACGAGTATTTCAGTACAGGTTACTTTGAAAAAATCTCCAATCTAGTAGTCAAATATGATGAACGATTCAAGTTGGAGAAATCAAGGCTAATCCCAAAACCACAGTAAGGGAAGCCAGTAGTAAGCCCAAGAGGGTCAAACAAAGCTACATCGCTCATGCGAAACATCAAAAAGCAATCCTCATTAATGCATGCATTGAGTTTAGAGATTTGTTTCAACAATTGATCCATGATCAATCAATAAGCGCGGCCCACAAAATGTTCCATCTATCTACAAATTTGGCGGGTGAGCCGAAAGCCCTCATACGGCATCTGCCAATTTCCGAGCAAAATTACAATATAGCTTGCGATATTCTGTCAAATCGGTATGACAACAAACGACTCTTGGTGACAGCATTACTAAATAAATTGTTATCACAACCAAATATAACAATTGAATCAGCAAGCAGTCTTAAGGGCATACATGATGTTACAAAAGAATGTTATTATGGATTAGCAGCTCAAGGTATTGATGTTAAATCTTGGGACGCCATAATGGTTCACGTAATTATTAGAAAGCTAGACAAAGCTTCACATACGGCATTCGAGCAATCGTTAGAAGACAGCCGAAGAATAATTTCATTAAAAGAATTATTGCGGTTCCTAGAAGGAAGATTTCAGGCATTCGAATCAATGACGAATGAAAACCACAAACAAAGTCACAAACCACGACATCCAGCAGTAGCACTTGCAGCTACAGACTCAGGATCAAAATGTATTACTTGCAATAGAAGTCATCAATTATTTTCATGTGAAACTTTCAAACGTAAATCCATACAACAGAAGTACGATTTACTAAAACGTCATAAATTGTGCACAAACTGCATGAAACCTGGTCATATGGCATTACAATGCTCCAGCAGGGGTTGTACTATATGCCAAAGAAGACATAATACACTATTGCATCAAAATAGACACCCAGTTCAACCATCAAATCATACATCAGTTGAAAACACTTCAAGGCCACTTGCACAAACAACTCTAATGTCATCCATCAATCATGGTCATACCAGTTGCGTTCTTTTAGGAACAGCAAAACTTTTAGCCTCCAACTCTAATGGAAGAACAATCGAGTGCAGAGCAGTACTGGATACAATACTTGAAGCATTTGTGTTGCCAAAAATTGTATCCAATTAACCATCGCAGCACTTACAAATTTCAAATTGGAATCTGCCTAATTACATCCAATTAGCAGATCCTACATTCTATAAGTCTGACAAAATTGATATGTTGCTTGCAGCAGAATTTTATCCTCAACTCCTAAGTCCTGGTCAAATACAACTTTCAAGAGAACTACCAATTCTACAGAACACTGTGCTCGGATGGATCGTATCTGAAAAAATCCAAAATGCTAACACAATGATTGCAACATGTGGAATAGCATCAGAAGATAGTTTAGAAAATGCAATAGAACAACTCTGGAAGGTTGAAGAAGTTGATACTCACTCACGTCTTCCTTTTATAAATGACAGATTGTGGAATAGCATCAGAAGATAGTTTAGAAAATGCAATAGAACAACTCTGGAAGGTTGAAGAAGTTGATACTCACTCACGTCTTCCTTTTATAAATGACAGATTCGCTTTGGGAGATTCGAAAGACATTGCTATAATAGATTTCTAGCACTAGAGCGTAGACTTTCAAAGGATAGTCACCTCAAACGACAATACGTAGAGTTTTTAGATGAATATGAAAAATTGGGACATATGATCGAAATAGATATTGAAAGGATTATGTCACCACATTACTTTATACCACACCATTGTGTGCTTAAACCCGACAGTACCACCACCAAGTTACGTGTGGTATTTGATGCATCATCCAAAACAACATCAGGGCAATCTCTCAATGATTTACTATACATCGGACCACCTGTTCAAAGTGAATTACTGTCTATTTTATTACGATTCCGTCTTCCTCGTTATGTGTTTACAACAGACATTGAAAAGATGTACCGACAAATACTTGTACATCCAGAAGACAGACAATGTCAGCTTATCGTTTGGAGAAATGAACCAAGTCAGCCAAGCAAGCTTTAGCTGATGACAATATGCAAAATTATCCATTAGGTGCATCTGCTCTCAAACAAAACTTCTATGTAGATGACTGTTTACACGGGGCTGATAGTCTGAGAACATTGTTGGAAACTCAGAGTCAATTAAACAAAATACTGACAGCAAGCGGTTTTAAATTGCCAAAATGGTGCGCAAATCATTCTAGGAATTCCACACGATGACCTAGAAGTCAATTTAGATTTAGAAAATAATAACGATACAACAAAAACTCTTGGATTATCTTGGTGTCCAAAATCTGATAGTTTATGCGTCAAGGTTAAATTGGAACCTGTTTGCAGCACGACGAAGCGCAGTGCAACCTCAGATTTAGCATGGCTATTTGATCCACTAGGACTTTTGTCACCAGTTGTGGTGATGGCAAAGATCTTTATTCAAGAATTATGGAATTTAAAGATGGATTGGGATGAAAAACTGCCGACTGAATTACATAAACAGTGGTTAGAGTTCCGGAACAATTTGACAAAAGTAAATTGTCTGCAGATATCTCGTCATATTTTCAAGGGCGAAGTTCCTGCCAACATTCAATTACACATCTTTACAGATGCATCAGAAAAGGCATATGGCGCTGCGGCGTATTTGCGATCAACACTTCAGAATGGTCAAATCATTGTACGACTATTGTGCGCCAAATCTCGGGTTGCACCTTTGAAAAGGTTGACATTACCTCGTCTCGAACTTTGTGCAGCTGTGGTTGGCGCAGAACTAGCAACAAGAATAAAGAACGACCTACAAATAAGAAATTACCAGACGTTCTTTTGGTGTGATTCACAAATAGTGATATCATGGATCAACTCTCCATCATCAAAGTTTCACACTTTCGTTGCAAACAGAGTAAGCAACATTCATCAATTAACAGTCACAAGTCAGTGGCGCCACGTCAGTTCGGAACACAATCCAGCTGACATTTTATCAAGAGGCCTTGCATCCCATAAACTACAGTCATCAAGTATGTGGTTTTATGGACCTATGTTCCTGCATGGTCGGGAAGAACTGTGGCCTTCAAAACTATCATCAGCGTTAAAATCCGAAACCCTCATTGATCCTGAACGGAAGAAGGAAACTCCAGTATCTACATTGTCTGTTGTTGAAGGCACAGCAAATCCTGGAGAGTTCATATACTCAATACGACACAACAACTCATTTGGAAGACTTCAATGGATATTATCGTATATATGAAGATTCGTAAAAAGAACTAGAAGAAAACAAAATGATCATTCAAGCAATTTTTTGACTCCAGATATTCTAGATGCAGCACATCAGGTCATCATCAAAAGTATTTAATATGCAGAATTTAATAATGAAATCAAAATTATGAAATCTGATGGAATAATAAATAAGTCTAGTTCATTGGCATCACTGGCACCTTTTATTGATAATACGGGTATCATAAGAGTTGGTGGACGTTTGGATGCAGCCTCATTATCGTATGACGTCAAACATCCTATGTTGTTGCCTTATAACGACCCCATTGTCAAATTAATAATGGAACAAGTCCATAAGAAATACATGCACTGTGGTCCGCAGTCTCTCCTAGCTAACATGCGTCAACGATACTGGCCAATTAAGGGCAAATTGATGGCAAGGTCAGTAGTACAACATTGTGTACGTTGTACTAAAGTAAGACGATTTTATGAACAACTGATGGGTAATTTGCCAGCGACAAGAGTATAACCTGGGCGACCATTCCTCACCACTGGAGTGGACTTTTGCGGACCTTTTTGGATACATTACAGAATCCGAGGCAAGAAACCACACAAAGCATACATTGCTGTGTACTGTTGTTTTACAACTAAAGCAGTTTATCTCGAAGTAGTCAGCGATTTAACCACAGATGCATTCATCGGATCACTGAAACGTTTTATTGCTCGAAGAGGACATTGCAAGAATTTGCTTTGTGACAATGCCACAAATTTCGTGGGAGCAAGCAATCAATTACTTGAACTTGCAGACTCAATTCAAGCAAACAAGGCACAAGAGAAGATAATTATGGAATGTAATGAAAGAAGAATAACATTTAAATTTATACCTCCTCGTGCACCATACTTCG